ACTTTTTCTTGCTTCTTATTTTTCTTTATATCCTATAGAATGTAAATATTTTACTACTTCAAAGCTTCTTTTATTTATCACAGCATATTTAACTGTATTTTCAGTTCATTTATATCCTATTGAATGTAAATATTCGAGTGCTTTACATTTTCCACTTATTTCAGCAAAATCAAGTGTATCTCTTGTACCTTTATAACCTTTTGAATGTAAATATTCGAGTACTCCAGGTTTTCCATTTAATGCAGCATAATCAATTGCATAACTTGTTCCTATATATCCTAATTCATGTAAATATTTGAGTGCAATATGATTTCTATCTCTTACAGCTAAATCAAATGAATCTCCTGAACATTTATAACCTAATGAATGTAAATATTTTATTTTTTCTTTATCATCTTCTTTTTGCATTTTGTTATCAATTCTTTTTATATATGCAAGAAAATTATTTAACTCATTCTCAATTTTTTTTCTTGTGCGCTAACTGATCTTTCAGATCTGTGCGCATGCGCTATTTTTAATGAAATCTGGATCTCTTTGAGATCTATGCATAGTAGTAACATTGCTTAGCTTTATCACCACTAGAATTTATAGTCACTACGTGTATCAAAAGTATTAATATGTCTATTCTATACAGCATAATCAATTAAATCTTCAGGTCCTCTTAAATTTAAAGAGTGAAAATATTCAAGAATATGTAAATGTCTATTTTTTACAGCATAAATAAACGCTTCATCATTTACTTTATAATTTAACGATATTAAATATTTAACACCATCTAAATTTCCATGATAAGCAGCAAAAGCAATTAAATTATTAGGTCCTCTTAAATTTAACGAATGCAAATATTTAAGAATTTCTAAATACCCATTTAATGCAGCCAAAATAAATGCTTCATCATTCACTTTATAATTTATCGATATTAAATATTTAATTGTATCTAAATGTCCATTATAAGCAGCATAAGCAACAGTAAAATCTGTTCCTTTTTCTCCTATTTGAATTAATAATTTAATTAAATCAAGTCTACCTATTTTTGCAGCAAAGTCAACTTTATTTCCTTCCTCATACCCATACTTTTTTAATATTGAAGTAATATAATATACCTGAGTTGAAAGTTTTATAAAAAATTTATTATTCTCAAAATTATTTTCTAATTCCATTCTTTTTATATATACAAGAAAATTATTGAACTCATTTTCAATTTATTTTATTTTTGTAAAAAATAAAATAATAAAAGATTGTTAATTCTGTGTAGTCTCATAATCAAATACAACAACCTCATCTTCATCTTCATCATTATCATATTCAGTAGTTTCTGTAATTTCAGTAGTTACTGTAGTTACTGTAGTAACTTCTTCTTCATCTTCATCATCTTCATATTCTTCAGTCATTTCAATATCATTATAATCACTATATTCAGTAGTTTCTGTAATTTCAGTAACTTCAGTAGTAGTAACTGTAGTAACTTCAGAATCTTCAGTCATTTCAATATCATGAGTATCAATAATATTTAATTTTTCTTCTATTAATCTTAATCTTTCATCTATTAATTTTAATAATTCTTCAAGTTTATTTTCCATTCTTTTTATTATGTAAAGAAATTTATTTAACTCATTTTTAATTTTTTGATTTAAAATATTTTTACAAATAATAAAAATAAAAATGAATGATGATGAGATTAATGAAATATCTGAATTTCAAAAAGAATTTAGACTTTTTGAAGAAATATTAAAATTTGAATTTGAAGAATCAGATTCTGAAGATGACACTTATACATCTGATGAAGCTACTTATTTTACATCTGATGATGAAGATGAAGTTAAAGAAAAACCTATAGTTCCAATTCCTTTAAAAACAGTTCAAATCATGGAACTGCATAAAGATAAGCTGAAATGGATTAATTATGTTCCAACTTATAATGTTATTAATGATGATTATCCTGCTATAGATAATACTTCTTTTAAAAAACATTACAAAAAAAGAAAATTTAGTTTTGAAAAACCATTTAATGTTGATATTAATTTTACTGAAGATGGAAAACCTTCAACAATTCATTTTGTAGAGAAACTACCCATTTTCTGTAAAAATATTTTAAATGATAATTTCTGCCCTTTTGGAAGAAAATGTAAATACAATCATGATATTCCTTATTGTAATACTGTAAAGGAAAGACTAATATGCACTAAATCTTCATGTCAATATAAGCATATTCATATTTGCTATGATTATCCTAAATGTAGGAATAAAGAGTGTGTATTATTTCATCCTAAAAAGTCAGAATTATCTAAATTAAGAAAAGCTAAAACTAAATTATGCAAATATATTCTTGATAAAAAAGAATGTAAAAATATAAATTGCAAATATGCTCATTCTAAAAAAGAAATTGAAGAAAATGTAGAAATTTGTCATTATACTACATGTAAATTAGTAGAGAGTAAATTAAAGAAAAATAAAAAAGGAGAAATAGAAAAAATATATAAAAATAACAGTGATAAAACATGTTATTTTTTACATCAAGGTGAAAGTATTTTAAATTATATTGTTAGAACTTTAAAAAAATGAAAAAATATCATACTTTAAAAGTATTATATTTATATTGATCTAAAAAATCTTTACATTTATAAAAATGTATAAAAGAAGAATGTTTTTAGATTATGAAAAGCATGAAAAATATACAATAACTTTTAATATTAATTCAGATTTAGAACATAGAGCAATAAATGATAGACATATTAAAGTATTTGCACAAGAAGATTTTACAGTAAAATCAAATTCATATAATAGTATTTCTTTAATGTGTGGAGTTAAAATAGATAAAGGGCATGTAATGATTTCACTTGCAGAAAATTATAAACCAACACTAAATTTACTAAATTCTGTTGTAATAGAGTCTACTGATGATATTAAAATAACTTTATATAATAACGATAAAAAAGATATAAACATTAAAAAAGGAGATTTGTTATGCTGTATTTCATCTTATAATGGTGTTTTTAATACAAATCATATATCACATAGAGCTGCTTTAGAACCTGATAAAAAAGTAGAATCTAGATCAAAAAGTGATAAAGAATCTGTAAAATCTATATTATCAAGTATAGGAGAAATAATTAAAGAAACTATATGTAATGAAGATAAACCTAGTATAGATAAATCTGACAAAGCTCTATTTGATTTTGGTAAATAAAAGTGATTTAAAACAAATTTTTCTTTATAGAAAAAAGAAATGCAATGTAATAATGAATGTAAACAGCTTTATCCAGATCTTAACCAGTTTTCAGAAAATCCATCTGCACCACCACTATCTATAGATCAGAGATATCGATTAGATAAAATAAGTGAAATTCAAAGTAAAATAGAATGTGAAAGAAGTAGAAGAGCTATGTTGAGTAAAAAATATCACAGAGCTGTAAGAATAGTTTCAGCTATTGATAATACATTACTAGCTAGCACAATGACACTTGGAGCTGTTGGTATTGGTTTTTTAACAACAATAGTTGGAACACCAGTAGCTATTGCATGTAAAGGTTCAGCATTAGGTATGGGTGTATTATCATTAATAGGATCTAAAGTAATTAAAATATATAATAAAAAATCAGAAAAGCATGAAAAGATTAAAGTACTATTTGATGCAAAATTAAATACGATAAGAGATCGTATTTCTAAAGCTTTAAAAGATGGTTTTATCGATGATGTAGAATTTACAATGATACTTTCAGAATATGAAAATTTACAAACTATGACTGAGCAAATTAGAACAGAATCTAAGAAAGATATAGATGAGCAGACTAAAGAGTCAATATTTAATAAAGGAGTAGAAAAAGGGACAAATGATATTATAGAGGCGCTAAATATAAAATTTAATAGGAATAAAGGATAGGAATGATGAATAATACTCTTAAGAATTAA